GTGAGGTTCAGTATGCTTTCTAGTGCAGGAGCCTAGGGGGTTAGGGTTAAGATACTGATTCCGACCCCATTTCCTTCCCAACATGCACTCCAACTCCTGTTCTGGTAACTTTGCAATTGGGATTTACGCATTATGTTCAAGACACCTGTTTCTTCACTACAAAAGCCATTCTCTCTCTTTATAGCAGACACTTTGCCTGGCTCTGTACCTGAACATGGACATGTAGGGGCCATGTGGTTTGGACTGTGTGCCAACATTTTTCAACAGAATGCACACAAACATGGACAGCCATCACAGGAGATGCATGATAAAGTGTCTTTCAGCAACTTCTGTCGGTGACGGTGCACCACTGCCCAAAGTAATGCATTCGACTGTGGAAGCCAGTAACTAGTAGCTACATCCCATAGGCTTGCGTACTACTACTGACTGCAGGTGCGCAATTCAGACAATTCTCCTTTGATTTTGTTTCTTTTTTAACCCTCCGAAGGCCTTGTTCTGCCGTGAAGTCCAGCCCATACCAACCTTCTCTATCAACAACTTCTTTGTCATGTTCATGCTCTTGGCCATCTGTTTCTGTAGCATCTCCAGCTGCCTCTGGGCCTCTGTGTGTGTCTACAAATACAAGAGAACAAGCAGGTACACCTCACACTCAACGAATCACCATTCAGACTCTTGAAAGTTAAGTATCCACAGCAAGAGTTCAGCCTATGCAAAGCGCGTCGTGTTCCATGAAGTAAAATTCATGGCTATTTCACTAACCTGCACACAATAATTACACAGCTTCTGAACTAGAAAATGACCCAGTGTATGAGTGATTTCGGGTTCCAAAAGTGGCTAAAATAACTGGTCACTACAGCAGCTTGAGAATCCAGCTTGAAATTGGATGTAAGCGTCCTGGCCGACAACTTGCAATGGACAGCTACTAATGCTGTCCCTTGGGCTCTCTGATGTGTTTGAAGTACCTGACAGCCTCATTTTTCTGTTAATCTTGCTTACTTCCGAGTTCATGCTGATCCGTACACCTTCCAAAGTCGCGAGTGAGCAAATACTGTGTGTAACCTGCCTCACCTGTTTCAATGACTGTAGAGCTGTCTGTGATTCCCTGATGCCGCTTGTTACTTTCCCTTCCAAGCTGTTAATATCTTCCATTGTCATAAGGGTCTATATAACGAACAGAAGAAAAAAGCACAACATGACCACCTAAGTCCTCTGGCATTTCCACCAGGAACCTTCTAGACACTCTCAGAAATCCATCAACGTGAAGGAAACCCACAATGTGTTCTTTGTACCTTCCATGGAAAGTATTAGTGATGGGGCTCTACCTCCTGTGAAAATCCTCCAACATCTTTGGATGGATTTTAAAGAATAAAGGTGTTCCTTACAATCCCAAATCTGTCAAAAATATGGATTGTGCTTTTCTGTTTAACTTCAAAAACTTATTACTTAGGTAATATGGACTTATAACCGTTGCCACAGGCAAGCTGACCCCTGTCACTAACAAATCACAATACATTTCTGAAACACCTGACTGTCATATTAAACCCAATAACGTTTATCTTTGAAGCAAATCCCCAGGCAATCTGGTTGGGAATTCCCCAATCTCTTCCACGGGGCAGGAGCGCAACAGTCTTGTCGGGTCAACTTTCAGAGTGTATCAAGCCCAATGTGAGGTAAGATGCTAGACCATATAATGGGCAGTTCTGAAGGATCTTGCAGAATTAGGGTCAACTTCTGCTACAAGCACTAGCAACGTTTGACTCAAGACTTTAAGCTCTTGGTGGTAAGGACAACTACCTGGGTGGCACATGTAGCAGTTTCCTTGCGTGGCATGTGCGGCGGTGGGTATGAAATGGTGGACAGATCCATGTGATTTGTGCTGCCAGACGGCGATTGAGGATACTGCCGACAAAAGAAACACAACCAGGAAGATTAGCAACCATCACCAAAATGTAGATATGGACTCACCAAACCCTAGTAAATCCGGGGTGAGACTGGAGGAAAATGAAATAGCCGCAAAATTATCTGCGTTGGCATAAAGGCACCCCTTAAGGTACCTTTTCTCCTGTCAACTTTTGTCAACTTCTATATGTAAAAACACTGTAACGGTAAACCATGGTTTTTCTGGATTTTGAAAGAGATTGTTTGAATAAATCCTGAAATCAAGAAAAATCCTGACAAATCTCACCAAGTCTATAACCCTCCTTCTGTTTTAACCGTCAAAAACGCCTTCCACTTGATTTCCCCCGGTACACAGACACATATGGGAAATTTGACTGGTTTTGACTGATATGACAACTATGCCAAGAGTGTATCTTAGCATAGGAAGGTTAAGGTTTCAGATGTCCTAAGAACACGTAACAATTTGGGGGGGGTTTCAAATTCAGAAATGGCATCTGCTGCTGAGCATGCTCTACGGACATGAACCTGAGGCAGAGCCAAGTTTTTATCATTTGCAAGTTTAGTATTGATGTAAGAATAAGTAAGCAATGATTGGCGAGACTTAGTTACAAATGAGCTCAACAAAGAAATCTGCTACTAAGTCTCAAAAAACTGGCTTTCAGCAAAATCTGGTTATAAGCCAAAATGTCATTGTGCGTCTCCTGTGAATGGTTCCCTGCTGATATTTTACGAAGCAGAGTGTGTGCCTGGGTTCTTACCGGTGGTTGTGAGGTGGAGGGGGATCTCGGCAAGAGGACAGGATTTGGAGCTCGTCCCGGGCTGTTTCCTGTCGTCTTGAAATATTCACTAATTTTTTTGGCGTTGTGACCATGACCTGAGATACAAAAGAAAAACCACACACATAATTTAACCAATGGGGACTCATGCCTGCACTTGTATTTTTTTGCCTTTACCTGACGCCAACCAGGCTTGAAACACATCATCACTGTCTTTCCCTAAAGGTTTTGTTACACTCCTGCGCTTATGATGCCATGTGTGGGTGTTCTCTGAAGCAACCGTGGTTTGTGACTAGAAACGCAAGAACAGAAATTGAATCTGTCTGCTTTGCGTCATAGCATACTTTCTTTTTTCAGCATTCGTTTCACCGTAACACTTCAGAAATTTCTGCTTGAAGTATTCTGAATCCTCCAATACGCAGGGACATAATGGAACACCCTTTTAATTCAAATTCACATCAAACGCTGTGTTAAGTAATCAAGACCGGCATCTACCTTTCTCAATCCTACAAAATCCTCCAAAATTTGCAGTCAATGTTAATTGAACTGAGAAGGTTAGTATTAATTTTGTCCACGACCAAGCTGTACACATGAATTGTTGCAGTGAGATGCATCCTAAGTTTAAGAAGTCCCTGTGCCAATCCAACGACAGTTTAAAGTTGTGAGATCATAAGTGTCTTCAACTGCCATGAGGCATTAGCATCAACACCACAAAGGTCCATCCGGTTTTAAAAATGCATTTCAAATAAACTCAAACCAAAATGAGAGTTCCATTTACGCAATCCAGAGGCACAAATCTTACTTCAAATGACATTTTAATGTTGACGGCCCTTTGAATCTTTCCTCACCTCCACCGGAGTTCTGATCGTGATTTTCCGGTAGTTTCCTTTTTCTTCTCCTTTCCTTTCTCTCCGGCGTTCCGGTCGTAGCCGCCCGCAATGCCTGGTTACACAGGGCAGGAAAGATTAAGTGCACGCAACTGCGGAATAAACCTGGCCTTCACAAATGGCGTACAATGGCATGATGAGGTCTGAGCACTTTTTGTGTGTGACTTCATCCCAATCCAAGTATCCCACAGCTTCTCCTCGTCTTCTACCTCCCAACCTTGTCCAGCTCACGCGTGTGACATCATTGTGACTTAATCCTTACCCATTCGCACAATATGGTCTTAAAAAACCACTAAAACCAGAAATAGATCACAGTGGTGTGTGTATGCCTATGCATTTTGATCATGAATCAGATTGAATCTAGGAATGTGAGGCCACGTCTGGACAGACTGGTTTGAGGCAATGGCTTTGGACTTTAGCCACTGGTGCCATAGCCATTAACAATCTTCTTTTTGGGGCCAATACCTGAATATCGCTGTCCTCTGTCTGTGGACTGTGGCTGCCGGCACTCTGACTGGAATCATCGTCGATAACGATGGGCGGCTGGCTCCGGGTGCCCTTGAAGCGGGCCTCCAACCGCTCCAGCCGCTGGGGATCAAAATTGCGGAAGTCCTGCATTGCGCCTGCCTCACAGAAGCGAAGAGATGACTGACATGTATGCTACTAGCGAAGACGGTGTTTTACATCCTTCGTATTCTGAAACAAAGTTTAGAAACAGTGAACTGACAAGTTTTCTTTTAGCGTAAAAGGCATGACCAATCCTGATGTGGGTCAAAATGTCACATTTATCATACCATTTTTCAGACAATTTCTGAAAGTCAATGAACAAATATAACTCCGAACTGGAAGTTGACAAACTAACTCTCTCTGCTTCACCTCAGAGACTAGATCCCCAACTTCCAGTATCTTAGAAAGCTGATATCAACCATCAATCTGACATATACCATGTTGTTTCTCTTGTATGGCATCACAGAAATGCTGGTGATACATGTGTCGTCATCTTTGCATGTCTCCCATGAAGAGTAGCTGGGGCAATGCTTGCACGAGAGTACTTCATCCGGACTAAAGTTCCAGAAAACTGATCCCGAGAAACAGTTCAGTAAGCTAGCATACTTGACTTGTGCGCAAATCCTCACAAGTGACGGTTATTGGATCAGTGAGAAATTAGGCTCTCAATCACGAATATGTAAGAGGTGTGGCAATGGGGTTTACTTTTCTCCAAAGTGAGGCACCATGTGCAGCTGCACATGTCCCTGATTCTGCCAGACTCCGTAACAGGTAGCAACAACTTACAAACAGGTTTTCTGATTTAATTCCCCTTGAAAAAAAATCCTCCAAAGCCTTAAGAAGTCAAACGAGAAATTGCATTTCAATGACGTCTGGGGCTTACGTTGTGATATTTTGGTGAATGGAGAAAAATAGTCACTACTGAGAAATGAACCTGTGGCCTCAAGATCCAGGATTATCAACATTATCCATTTGACCATCCAAGCCAGTGATAACATGACCCAGGGGTTATCAAGTCTTGAGAGCATGCGGTCAAATCCCGGAAGGGCCATGCCAGCAAGCAGCAATTTTGTTTCCCTATCCAAAAAAGACCAAATATTTTCCATTAGTGAATCAAAAACCCAGTTTACTTGCAGGATATATCTCACTTTGCTTTTCGTTATCTATGGCACTAGAGGGTTTTTTTTAGAAGGAAAATTGCATAAGGTATGAATTCCATCTGAAAACCAGACACAGATCTGTCGTGGTAAAATGTTAGTCTCCAAAATGACTCACTATGCATGGTCAATTGCCATGTCAGCAACAAAAAGAAAAAGCACACCAGTACCACCAGCTCACACTCGGTATCGCTGCCAAATTATGGGCAAGTCCCATTTGTGAATTTGTTGAAAGTCTCTGGTAATAAAACTGTGGCATGTGTTACCAATCTTGTGTATAATGTACACGTACGTTGCACCACCTGTAGCGTTGCTGGAATGTAACTGTACAGACGGCGCTATCTGGAATCTTGCACAAATTTACTGCACTCCATGCTGAGATGATTTGCCTTTGAACACGTTGAATGAAATCCCTTCATAAGATAATCAATTAGGAGGAGTGCAATAAATTTGTGCAAGAGATAGTCGAGATTGCGCTCAACAGGTGCACCACTCTTTCCAAAATTGTTTACTACATGATGTAGGTCTAGGCCTGCTACTGCACTAGTCACTTGGAAAATAGGCCTACAAACATGACAAATAAAAATACATACACTTATATATCCTTTCTTTCTCCTACACCTAAACAACACTGCAATCCAGCATCATCATTTCAACAAAACCATGCGACAGAAAAACACAAAAAAATGAAATGAAAAAAAGCTGAATGAGTCCCTATTTAATGTCAATGGCTCAATTGTAGCCTTGCAGTTTTGTTTTAATTGCATTGTAAATTGGTGACCAAATTTTACCTCTAAACAACGCAGAAAAGCCTTAACTAAAGCCTAATCTGAAGTTAAATGTTTTTGAAGTGTCTGGTTAAGTAAGTACAAATGCATTCCATTCAGAAATCGTGCAAGGTACATGTACATAAGAGAACTTCAATACATGTTAAGAAATTCGGTCCCAGGAAAAAATCCAAGATGGCGCTTTCCTGCTACCCAGAGACGTAAACATCTTTCAATCTTTCTCAAACAAACTACTGCACAAACTTCACCACGATAGGCACAACAAACAAAAATTGTCTACAGAATACACTTCAGAATTTGAACATGAAATCCCACCTCTTAACTGGAAATTGTTGCAAGGTTTTGCGCCGCATGCGCCGACGAACACCTCTGTTTTTACTCTAGCGTGTGTGGATATGTCACCAGTCTCGGCCGGTATCGACTGACGTCACCGTCTGTCTCGGCTCCTTTCGGAACTTTTCGGAAAGAAATCCTTGAACCCTGCCACCGAATTCTGCAGTAGCCGGGTCAGGGTGAAATCAATTTCCGCCTCAAAGTTTGAATATTTTCATGACGTCATCTTCCCTTTCCTGAATGACCACGTTTTCGTTGCAAAATTCCATGCGGAATTCCGGAAAAGAAAACAGAGCTGAAGCCTTACTCCAAATCTAGTTATTTTGAGAAGCGCCGACGTTGATATATTGAGATTGACATTGAGCCGGGCGAGAAAGTGATGATGTCACGTCACGTTCGCAGGCGGGAAACTGGGTTAGATATGATAATTTAATTGGATGGGCTAGGGGTGGACGTACCTGCAAGACAGGAGATGTGTAGGCGAGTGGATATGGTTTGGAGAACTATGCTAAAAAAAAAAAAAAAAGATAACAAAAATCGGAAGTTCGGGGAAAAAGATGCCGGGTGCAAATAGATGTCGGAGAGTGTGCCAAGCCCACTCACCGCATCAGCTGGAATACTAATAGATCGGAATGGACTTTTTTAAACAGGCAAGTAAAATTCTTAAATCATCGGGCGAAAAGGTCATTCCAGCAAGCGATGGTATATCGACCAGCCATTGAATTGAATTTTAAGGTCCAAGACGCGTAGCAAGGGATTTTGTTGTTTCCCGACACTATAGAATTTTCGTCTAGTGTTCCCTCTTTTCATTGTTCTGTTTACGCTATAGTATCGGCGTTCCAACTTTGTTGATAAAGTCCAGTACCGTTGCTACCCCTCCCCGATGACGCTGTTAGATGCAAGACACAATCTGTTGCTTTTTTAGAGGATTCTTTTCAAAGCTTTACACTACAAAACACCTCAAACAAAATATGAGAGATTGGGCTACATGTGCCACGCATTGAATTTTGATTGTGCACAGTGCCCGATTTTTTAAAATAATTCAAACACTCTGCTTTTTCAAACTTCATACAATAAAAAAATTCAGACATCATTGTCATCTGATTGGCCCAGTATAAATTGGAAGGAATGTTTTCCTATATTTTCCAGAGCCTGAGACTGTGTCGGAGCTTGCCATGTCGGTGTGTAGGGAGTTGTCTCACTGAGAATTCTCATCAGAGAGAAGGAAATTTGTACAATTTCTCAAAGTGATGTTAGATTTCGCTGTCTTGTTGCTTAAGTTGCTGTTGTTCCAGGGTCCTTCAGTGTTGCCATGCCAACTGCATAACTGGACCGAGGCAGTGAAACACCAACTATGAAACTGCATCTTGAAGTGCTAAACGTCTTTCCTCCAAACACATTGAAAGCTAGGCATGTTTCACGTGACCTAAACATGGAAGTGACCTAAACATGTTTAGTTTGTCACAGTTCACAAGAGTCTAAACATGTCAAACCTAAACATGTGGGTACAAACTTAGCGTTTAGAGATGTGTTTGGATCCTAAGCACCATTTTACAGTGTACCGATGGTAAAAACGTCTTAGCTCTCAACAGTATTAAGGGGGGCCTATTACCAAACTGTTTAAACAGTGGAGTTCCAATAGTTCAATTTCGCTGAAGCATCGTTTTTTGTGATATCGAAAGAGAAACTGGAAACGAAAAGAGCCGAAGCAAAGCCTGCTTTTCACCGTTCTTCGTCAGTTTTTATTTTAGCATTTATCTCCTGCTTTGTTTTGAGTTTATGGAGGTGTTTCTTTCAGATGTTCACCGCAACAAAACTGTTTAAAACCCTGGTGTTTCATAACAACACCAGACTGGTGTTCGCCTTCAATGCTGAGGCTGTTTATTTTACGCTAAAGTTTGGGCACTTATCCTTACGTTTTATAACGACTTATTCACCATGCTGCGCGTTTTGTCACCATATCTTTGCCATTTTTAAGGTCGATCATCAAAATTATAATAACCCGCATTTTATGCATAGCGCCAGCCTACTTTTCCTGAGAGAAAAAAAAGTGCTTCGATAAAAATGAAGTAAAGGTCAATAAAATTAGGGTTTAAACAATTCAGAAACAAAATTGTTTGACGGATGACACATTCCGGATGGTGTTGAGGACAAATTGGGAGCCAGCAATGAAGACGGTGCGATCAACGCTACATCGTTGACAGAAGATAAGGAATGATGATATTTATGGTGCATGTCCGATTCATGGCCCTGCTGCGCGTCTTCGAAGAAATCCGTGCACCGATGCATTGGACGGAAAAATTATCAGGTAATTGAGAATGACGTAATGTCGATGACAGGTGGTACTTTTCGACAATCGCGATCTGCGCCGCTGATGAGTGAACAGGCGCACACACTTGTAAGTCAATTGGTTCATGCATTTTGTGACATCAATGCACCTGGTTCCAGAAGGCAATTTATATACCCGGCAAGAAATGAGACCGAGGGGTACCCCCCCCCAACATGTCCAATCCCTATACACATTCCAGGCTATTATTACTCAATACACCCCCCCCCAAGATGTCTGAAAGGAATTCCCCAGATTCCTGCGAGACAATGACCAACACAAAGCAGGGGGGGGGTTCTCTCTGTCTCATACCTTGCTGCATATGTCCTATGGGCAGCTTCAAGTTCAACCACGTGCAAGCACATGTGCGAACGCTCCATGCTTGACTGGTTTATCCTGAATAAGTAGATTACCATCACAACACATCATAGGTCCACAGGAAAAAGGTCTATAGCGTTGATGTTGGGAGCGAGAATCAGACTGGTGCCTCACCTTGGCAGGTAGTCGCATTCGTGTTTTCGTAACCGGTATCGCACATACAGTCGTAGCCGTCCGGGACATCCATGCAGACGCTGTTTGGGCCGCACTGATGGGAACCATCGGCGCATTCATCCACAGGCTCTAACAAAGCCAAAGATTGATTCTTCAAATCATTGACAACGATACATCCGAAGGCTGTTACAAGGCTGTAGAATCTGAGAGAAAAGCTGTTACAATTGCTAGTCTTTCTGAATTAGTAGTCATATGTTTCCTGTTTAGATCACTGTCGAAATCGGTAGAATGTTGAATGTTGAATTGAAAGTGAGGTACAACTTCATTTTAAGGAACATTAGAGTTGATGAAGACGAAATACAATTTCATTCCAATTCGAATCCAGTTTTTCCTGTAGAATAATTTAAAACTAGTGGTAAATTATGTCTAAATGTTTCAAGCCTCGTAAAAATGAAAGTAGGGTTTGATTAAGTTTATTTACGTTTTATCAACAATTAACACCGCTGACGGTTTATTGAGAATCTATGAACACAAAGACTTTCTTCTGAGGCGCTTTTTGGCAGATTTAGTCAGTACAAGATAGTTACGTTTTGTGCTCTCTTTCAAGGAGGTTACGGGAGTCAGTTATAGAATGACTTGAAAACCTTGTCCAAATTTGTGATTAATTTGTTTTTTGTGCGAATTTTCAAAGCTTGCGGTTTCCCCCAAAGGCACCTGTTTCGAAGCTAATTGTAATTGACAAGGTATGACACGTACGACTGGGAGTAGTTGTCGAAGACGTTGGACCAGCGGTGGGCGAAGAAGTTGGACCAGCGGTGGGCGAAGACGTTGGACTAGCGGTGGGCGAAGAAGTTGGACCAGCGGTGGGCGAAGAAGTTGGACCAGCGGTGGGCGAAGAAGTTGGACCAGCGGTGGGCGAAGAAGTTGGACCAGCGGTGGGCGAAGAAGTTGGACCAGGGGTGGGCGAAGACGTTGGACCAGCGGTGGGCGAAGAAGTTGGACCTGCGGTGGGCGAAGAAGTTGGACCAGCGGTGGGCGAAGAAGTTGGACCAGCGTTGGGCGAAGAAGTTGGACCAGCGGTGGGCGAAGAAGTTGGACCAGCGGTGGGCGAAGACGTTGGACTTGAGGTGGGCGAAGAAGTTTGACCAGCGGTGGGCGAAGACGTTGGACTAGAGGTGGGCGAAGAAGTTGGACCAGCGGTGGGCGAAGTATTGTCTGGGTTATTTGGCATTGTCGTGGTACTTTCCATCGAAGAATCTGTTGTAACTGTGGATTCTGCCCCATAAGCAAATGAATGCACAACAAAGCAGTCAATTAAAAAATGTTTCCAGGTTTGTAGAAATGATGTCCGAGCTACACGAGATAAATAAACTGGGAATTTCCTTGTCCACGTACATATAGGCTCGTGTTTGTTTTCTGAAGATAATCTAAGCATGTGCCTATAAAGATTTGCTGAAGGTTTTGTGAGAGTTCATAAACAAGAAAAACTATATTTTGTGTCACTCAGGTGGATTTTGTCAGGAGGGGTTAGTTAAGTTTGTTCCACTCCATAAGGGAGGTCATGGGAGTCAAAATGTATAGTTAACTTGTATTTTGTGCGAATGTTCAAGATTGATGTTTTCCCCTGTAGGTGCCCGTTATGAAGATAATGTACTTGACGAGATTCGACACTTACGAACGGAAGTAGTTAACGAAGAGGTTGAACTACTGCTATATGGGTTACTTTGCGTTGTCGTGCTACCTTCAGTCTCCATTCCAGACGTCATGATGCTTTCCATCGGATTGCCACTGGCACCATCGTTACTCTGGGTCGAGGAACCAGGGTTCGTGGTAACTGTGGATTTTGTTCCATAAGCACATGAATGTATAATTAAAATGTCAGTATAAAATCTTTCCAGCTTTGCAGAAATGATGTGCAACTAACACGAGATAAATAATTTGGGCATTTCTCTCAATATCGCTGTTGCATGCGCATTTGCTCCATTAGTTGCTCCATGCATGCATCTGAAATGGTCATGGAATCTTGATAAAGGATTTCTAAAGTATAGCTGATTCATCTGAAATAGTCGTGGAAACTTGATCAAGGATAACAATGAAATTGGGAAAAATGAAAGCCAGAACGTCAAGGTGAGAATTCATTCGCTTTATTTGAAAAATTATGCATATTTAGTGAAATAAGTTATTCAAGATGTTTATCACGATCACAACTCCAAAAGGAAGAACAAAAATAAGAAATAATTAATACCAATGGCAGGGCGATGAGCCGTCATCAGCGGAGGACAGTTCGTTCCATTTTCATTTTTTTCATAGAATATTTGATTTCCTTTTTCCCTTTTGCTTTATTTTTCCCTTGAAAATATTTCCCCAATTTTCTTGGTGAGAGGAATCTTCCCCTTATACTCTGTTGCACCACCCATACTCCTAACCATTTCGTAGAACGATATTAAAACAATTCCCCGTCAAATAATTTGTATCACAAAGGGGATTAATAAATTCCCAATCTCACCTGATGCCTGTGTCGTATCAGCGGATGTTATATCGGTAGATGTTTCATCTGAAGTGGTCGTTGAATCTTGATCAAGGATACAAAATATTACACAGAATATGTCGAAAATATTCGTTCACACAACGTAGAACCTCACTTCGGGTGTTCTCATTAACACGTACTGCACTAACACTAAGGAACTTAACCCTGATTAGCTTCCCTGAATACACCAGTGCTACACGCAAGGGAAGCCTCAAAATGAGGGTAATCGAACGCTGCAGTGTACTCGCCAAGGCATTCTGGGAAAAAGGTCAAGTCCCCGCCACGTTCCGTCATGTACGTCCATGCACGAACAGTCCATCCGTGACGTCATTACACTTGGGCAGCCTCCAAAGACCCGCTCACCAGCCGGGTTAGTAGTGGCTGACACCAGGGTAGGCAAGAGGATCACGTGATGGCTAAACGAACGCTCTCGTGTAAGTTTGACTGGCACGTGTAAACTAATCGAACGCATCCAATGTAATCATTAACACAAAAGTCCGGCGACACAGCTCACCCACGATGTACAGCCCTTTGTTTAGGAATTATCACTCACAACCCGGCGGCACGTACGGTCCTTTTGTTTAGCGATTATCGTTTCCTACTTCCTAATTATTTTTGGACCTCCTGTAGGTCTGTTGGTATTTTTCCATGACGTCACACCTTTGACACCTTAGAAACGTGATCAAGGATAACAATGAAATTGGAAAAATTGGTGAAAAAATGGGGAAGAAATGCCCTTTACGAAAGTATTACTTGTAGCTATTTTAAATTAAGCAGCAAATTTGCAGCCAGTTTGAATCAATTCGAATGGGTGACTTTGCCTATTATTTATTCGTTTGCTAATGTAGATTCAACCGTAAAGGGCATTTCTTCCCCAACGAATAAATAATAGGCAAAGTCACCCACTCGAATTGATTCAAACTGGCTGCAAATTTGCTGCTTAATTTAAAATAGCTACAAGTAATACTTTCTCTGAAAAGTTTGCTGTGACTAACCTTTCATGTTTCGTAAAATGCTAAGTCGAAACAAAACAGCCTTAAAATGAATTTGGCTATGCATTCCTTTCCTTTGTAAGCATGTATGTTCTAAAAGCCTTTCATTTTAGTCCAGCGACATCCATAACGTCACGGTGAGAAATGCCCATCAGTCGCTTTATTTGAACGATTATGCATATTAGTGAAATAAGTTATCCATGCATGTTTATCACGATCAGGGTTAAAAACTAAATACATTTGCCCTTGCAAATAATAATGGCAGCGCGATGAGCCGTCATCGGCGGAGGATGGTTCATTCCATTTTCATTTATTTCTATTAACATTTTTTTCCTTCTCCCCTTTGCTTCTTTTTTCCTTTTCAATTTTTTTCACCAATATCCTTGGTGAAATAAAGTGTCCCCTTACTCCTAACACACCTAACCATTTCGTAGAACGATATTAAAACAATTCCCCGTCAAATAATTTGTATCACAAAGGGGATAAATAAATTCCCAATCTCACCTGATGCCTGTGTCGTATCAGCGGATGTTATATCGGTAGATGTTTCATCTGAAGTGGTCGTTGAATCTTAATCAAGGATAGAAAAAATATTACTCAAGATACGTCGAAAATATTCAATCACAACGTAGAACCTCACTTCGGGTGTTCTCATTAACACATACTGCACTAACACTAAGGAACTTAACCCTGATTAGCTTCCCTGAATACACCAGTGTTACACGCAAGGGAAGCCTCAAAATGAGGCTAATCGAACGCTGCAGTGTACTCGCCAAGGAATTCTTGGAAAAAGATCAAGTCCCCGCCACGTTTTGTCATGTACGTCCATGCACGAACAGTCCATCCGTGACGTCATTACACTTGGGCAGCCTCCAAACACCCGCTCACCAGCCGGGGTAGTAGTGGCTGACACCAGGGCAGGCGCGAGGATCACGTGATGGCTCAACGAACGCTCTCGTGTAAGTTTGACTGGCACGTGTAAACTAATCGAACGCATCCAATGTAATCATTAACACAATAGTCCGCCGACACAGCTCACCCACTATGTACAGCCCTTTTAGGAATTATCACTCACAACCCAGCGGCACGCACGGTCCTTTTGTTTAGCGATTATCCTTTCCTACTTCCTAATTATTTTTGGACCTCCTGTAGGTCTGTTGGTATTTTTCCATGACGTCACACCTTTGACACCTCAGAAACGTGATCAAGGATAACAATGAAATTGGAAAAATTGGTTAAAAAATGGGAAAGAAATGCCCTTTACAGTTGAATCTACATTAGCAAACGAATAAATAATAGGCAAATTCACCCATTCGAATTTATTCAAACTGGCTGAAAAATTTGCTGCTTAATTTAAAATAGCTACAAGTAATATTTCCTCTGAAAAGTTTGCTGTGACTAACCTTTCATGTTTCGTTAAATGCTAAGTCGAAACAAAACAGCCTTAAAATGAACTTGGCTATGCATTCCTTTCCTTTGTAAGTATGTATGTTTATCACGATCAGGGTTAAAAACTAAATACATTTGCCCTTGCAGATAATAATGGCAGGGCGATGAGCCGTCACCGGCGGAGGATGGTTCATTCCATTTTCATTTATTTTTATTAACATTTGTTTTCCTTCTCCCTTTGCTTCTTTTTTCCTTTTCAAATTTTTTTACCAATATCCTTGGTGAGATAAAGTCTCCTTCTACTCCTAACACACCTAACCATTTCGTAGAACGATATTAAAACAATTCCCCGTCAAATAATTTGTATCACAAAGGGGATAAATAAATTCCCAATCTCACCTGATGCCTGTGTCGTATCAGCGGATGTTATATCGGTAGATGTTTCATCTGAAGTGGTCGTTGAATCTTGATCAAGGATAGAAATATTACACAGAATATGTCGAAAATATTCAATCGCACAACGTAGAATTTGATGGCGGGTGTTTTCATAATCACGTACTGCACTTACGCTAAGGAACTTAATTATTACAAAAATCACGACGACCACCAATTTTCTGGACATGCCATAGACAGACAAAATGGCAGGAATGGCTTGCCAATTCCTGTCCTATCACTCCAATGACCACGGTGGCGGTTGCAAGACTGCACGGCTCCGAGCAACTCTAAGAAAAACACGGTGATAAACCGTTCAGTGGCATGCAAGTTACGTTGCATTGCTGAAAATATACTCCCTCAGTTTCAGGTTACAAATTCGTGGGTCGTGAAGTCGTATGGGTTTCCAGTCGTACTTGCGAGATTGTACGACCGACATGGCATCTCGTCCTCCAATACATCTCGCATGCATGTACGACTCTGGCACAGTTTTTGTTTGTGGTTTTTTTTAATGCGCTTCATGTAAACGTTCTTTCCGTGTCACTTTTGACAAAATGTTCGGCTGCTCTTTTGCAATTTTAAGAGCATTTTGGAGCTTGTTGATGCAAATTTGCTTGTTTTGAACAGAAATATAATGGCATTCAAAGCGTTATTTCTCAGGAATTTTGGGATAAAGGCCTACTTTGGTGATGGTTCATGACTGTGTGGCCAGCAAGCAACGTTTTCTCATCACTATTTTTAGTGAGAAAATTTCGGGAATAAGATTTTAAAATGTTTTCCAAAGCAAATTTCACTGTTCACTGACAGAAACCAAAAAAGGTGTGGGATAGTTTTCTCACATTTAGGAATAAAGGGTTAAATCGTAGGCCTATTACAAAACACGCTACAAAGAAAAATCACATCGAAGATCCTTAATTTAACGCCACAAAGGAGCCAGGGAGTCCGCCACAAACATTTTCTCTAATATCGCTGCAGCTTTTGAAGGGGCAGAAGCAGTGGTATTTTCACGGATAAACAGTTGCTGTAACGATCGATGATGAAGTGGACCTCACACAACAAGGTGGCAGCCAAGACCTCGCCCTGTCCAACTTCCATCCCGGGTTCCATCTTGGTTAATGCATATTTATAATATCCTATTCATGATACTAATATTGTATTTTCATATCAAGGAGAACCCTTCCAATGTTTGCCATTTTTTCAGAAAAATGTGCCACCACCTCTTTTCACAAAAAGCCACATTTTGCTTCCCTTAACTCAAACCTGGATACACTACTGCTGTCAACCAGCTCCCAGCGTACACTACATTAATTGTCAGGAATTGAAGTGAAAGAAAGGGAGTTAGGAAGGCATCTATGTAATCTGGTCATTTAAATCTACGGTCAAAATGCCTCCAGTCTTTCTGCATCCTTTTGAACAAATTGAGAAACTTTGTGAAAACGAAATACTCAAGATATCTTTTCCACGATGGAATAGAAAGCAAACGCCTGGAAATCAATTATAAAGTGTCACAATGCATAACCAACACTCCACCCCATCTGAAAACGAACTGCTGAAATGAGCCCACATTAAAGTGCAATGCACTGAACCGATATTAACTCTACTGATGCAAGTTTGAAATGCTGGAAAACGGCGATGTTAAAATGATAAAGGATTCCCCGTCGAATTTGTTGGACGCAAGTATCAATAATTGAGAAAGTCTTTCAAATTTACACGTACCTGTCATAGAGCTGGTTGAAGCTTCGGGGGTCGTGGCTGAAGTGGCATCGTTGTAAAAGATAAAAAACGAATAAGACTAGTATACCCCAAGACTATTCGTTCATTTAGAGCATTTTACTCTTCAGTTTTTCCAGACTCTAAATAATTGTGTGCCTCTAAAGCTTTGATCAAATCGACAATAATAGTGCCCTCTGAGTTCGATAATCTTATTTTATTCATTAATTTTTGTGATAATCTTATTTTATTTATTAATTTTTGTAGGCAAGCAGGGGATAATCTAACTGCAGGAAAATAAAACAAAAAAATTATGCGTTTTATTTGATTTCCTATTTTTGCCATTACAAACTGAAAATAGTATTGACAACGTACTCTCAGTCTTTCTGACCTCTGTTAAATAAAGTGTATTTGTGACATGATTCCTGCTCGGCTTTCTGTCACATTAACGAATTCCTGGAAGTAACAGGTGAGGATATGTGTTTAAAGTCAAATGTTAGGAAAGTAGGCATAATTACGGTCACCCCAATCTTTATCTTTATCAGTCTTAATCAGTCACTATCATTTCAACTATGCACTTATAGCTATGCACCTTTGAGCAAATTTAGGGGATTCCGGAAAGTTAAGTGGTATCTGGGGAGTGATCTTGTCTCAACAAAGAAGCAACACATTTGTTTTGTTAAGTTTTATCTGGCACTCTCCGCGGTGGTCTTACAGAGCGAAAAGAAATCAAGACTGAAAAAATATTGACAAAAAAGTGAAGCACCCGTTTCATTCACCACTGGAAAATTTCAATGTTACGTCCTTCATTTTGCGTATCAATAAGGCACTGACCACGATTTTTAAGTCGGACAAATGACAAAAATAGTTACATTGTCCAGCTACCAGAGCTCCAGTGAGGACCAAGATCAGAAATCCCGCCTTCATCCTGACGGCAAATATGTCCTAATGAGCAAAGATAGTAACAAAAGGCACAGTTAGAAGTGTAACACAAGTGACGTCTAGTATTTTGTAAAGCAGTCGATTGAGAGTAATGCGATGATTTCAAGCGTTTTACAAATTTTGTAGAAAACAGAAAAATGTTCGCACAACTCGGTCTTAATTTGCCTAATTTAACAATCTGTCGACGCAGCGAGGGCCCTTGCCCCTTTGGAACACGGGTGCCTTGCTGAACACATACCCTTCGTGTTGTAATCACACACATTAGTAAGCCAATGTTGAGCTAGTTTCGTATTCTACAGCCCATGCATCAAACTTGACACTTCTCAACTTTTGGGTAGATCGAAAGAATACTGTTTTGGACACTCAGGTCAAAAGCATGGATGGAATGAAATAAGTTCCGAAGGTTGGCTCTGAATCAGTTCGATGGATCTGTTACGCCAGTTAGGTCACGCGACATGGGTATCAAATGATTATCAACAAACATGGCGTCCCTCCAAAGCCAAGTGTGCTAAAGTGTTTACCAAAAATAAAGCCGATATTGGGTAAAGACCTCGTACTCAGCACATCAGTAGTCTGAGTACTTTACCGACCGTTTGCTTTATATCTGGTGAATAACAATTCTGACACACTTTAATGGTTTGATACCCGTTGCAGTGTGTATTAGAAAATCTTCTATTACTATACACCTCAGCGCACCTGTTGCAGTTCCTTGTGTTCACGTAGCAGATTTTACTCAATGATTACAAACTTTAGATGTGAAAGAGTATACGATCATTAGAAAGTGCGCTAGTTAGCTTAAAGTTTATCGGATGTGTTATTTTATCACAGTCGTCCTCTTTTTCAACATGGTATTAAACAGAAAGACGCAAAAGCTTTATTATGATGGGGAAGAATTTGATTATTTTTACTCGGATAGAAGGCCAACCTTGTTGTAGATATCTTCAGAATCGTTGGACAGATTTATAAAAATCCAAACGCATTTTGAAATAATTCAGATCTAAATCATGCTACAGCTAGGCCACTCGTTCAATTCATCGCACTAAACAAGCAGACTACAATAGGGCCGGTGTGTCGTCTGTAAATAACGTCATGGGTGAGTTGTGAAGAAAAAAAACCGTCTGAAATTTTCCTGACGACGGGCAATTGTTGGCAAACCTGCACCTTTACACTACAATAAAATTAATAGCCCGGGGCAAATCATCCGATTTTTCAACGTACCCTGAACCCCGTATTGTGCGCAAAGAATAGCAAAACTATCCGTATGGGGTACGTCTCCAAGACCACTGAAGAAATGTTGCCAAAACAATTTCAAACAACACCAAAACCCTGGCTGTTGTTATACCAAGCAGCTTTCTATTGCAGCTGCTTTCAATTTTGCACATTGACTTAACACGACTAATTCACAGACACTGGATTTACCGGAGGGGAGTTCAGAATCTGGAATTTACCGATATCTGGTCGATATTCTGGTTGTCGTGCAATGTAAATGAAAATGATAGCCCGTTCACCGTGTAATGGCAGTAGTAGTACGTGAGAACGATACGATTTTAGACTACCGTTTGTGTTTTCATCATATAACTTTCAAGCCATGAAATCAAACAGATTTAAGATCACTTTTCGAAAAGAAAATGACAGCAAACTGATAAAAGTCTTAATTTCTCTTAAACAAAGTTAAACTCGAGTCTTGGGTCTTCAAGATACTGTGTCGTACCAGAAATCTACTGATTCTTAAAAAAGTCTGTCTCTTGATTTCAGCTGTCATTCAGAATATACCCTGGGTAAAAGCATGCACCTTGAATGTCATAAATTATTTTGTACTCGCCAGATCTATTAGACTAGATCATTGCGCAAACTTGTAATCTATGACTCCATTTTTGGTATTTTGAGTAAGACAATTTCAGTCTGGGTTTTCTTTTTTTTTCTGTTATGGTCTGCAAGGGGAACGAGGGCGAATAATTTAGAAACAGTTTAAAGACTTGTAATTTAAATTTGTTGAAATATGCACTTCAAATGAAAACAATAACGGGGAAGATTTTCCCGGAAGCAAGTTATCTCACGGAAACAAGTAAATTTTCATTGAAATGGACAACCGTCAGTCCCCAATATCTGAGTATTCCGATTTTATGCAACTGCAATTTCCATTGTTTCCTTGTCTTGGGGATATTGTTAAAAACTAATGTCACTTGGGGAATATCAAAGCAGCTTGAATTAAAATTCGTTTGGAAAACATGGCGTCATTATTTTTCTATATAGATTAAAGCTTATAATATAGCCTTCTCCAACTCCTGGGCAAAAAAAGCCTTCACGTTTCTGTAATATTCGGAATTACTCGAAATTGTTCGTCTATCTGCATACAGATACCGCATGACTTATTCCACATTAGGGTTATCCCTAGGAGCTACTATCATTTTGAAATTTCTTAATCAAGTTTGTCCCATATACAGAAAATGCACAGCAAATACAAACTGTATAATTGTATAATCCTTATTAAACCCAATTGAACTCTAAATAAGGTAGTAGGCCTACTTACAAAGCTCGCCTTTTTAGTTCACACTCAAGGTATCCACTCGATGAATTAGCACACGATCCTAACAGCGAATTTCTTCAGGTTTTCCCAGGCAGCAAAGCTCGCGCGCACAAATTTCAATATCCGTTGAGGTGTAGTTAAAATGCGCTATGGTGCTCTGTGCCGCCACCTCGACGATTCCGTCACCGTACACCGCCTGGTAGACATGGAAACGGTAAATAAACTAGCACGTGTGCCCGTACCGCGTACAGACAAAAAGCTGAATTTTTATTGCCTGGACAACTTTCATTTTCAATCGAGTTTTTTTTTCTAAGAGTTGCAGTGATCTAGGTTTGCCGTCATTTTGAAAGAGAGGCGCAGGTCTTAGTGATGTGAATGGTCGGGGTCGAGTCATTGTTCGGCATGCAGTCAATCAACCAGCGATGAACAAGGGCCAGTTATTCAACCGAAAAACTTACCAAATTGAGCCAGGAGCTACAGAGAGTTCATGGCCAACTGGCTTCCAAATCCACCACCCCCACGAAGTTAAGATGTCCTTATTTCAAAAAAAAAAAACAACAACAACCAGGTGTGGTACATCGACTGCTGTCTAGTAAGGTTACGGGTTTTGTGCTACCTCTTCTCTATACAATTAATTAAAATGCGCGGAATCGCACATTTTATACAATCTCAGTCAAATATTTTATTTGTAAAACTGTTCAAGCTGATCTGTCGGGGGAAGGGGGAACGATTCACTTAATTTCCCCCGAACAAACCAAGGTTAAAATGAGCTGAAACCACATTTAATCAGAAAATATACATGGGTTCTTGATGGTTTTAGCTATGAATTTTATACTATTTCGCTTCACACTTGTGGTATATACTACGCTCATTAAACAGGGGTAATGTCTCTGGTCAGCTCTCTGTTATACGGTATAATCACCCTTTTGCCAAAAGGGGAGAAGCCGCGACAGTATTTGAAAAATTGGCGCCCCATTTCTCTTCTAAACTCTAAACAAACTTGCCTCTGCCTGCATTGCAGAGAGACTTGGGAGATAAATGGCGTTTATTTTGCTTGGAAAGGACATGACAAAGTGGCCACAAACCAAATTATCCAAGATTATGGTCAGGGTGGGTTGCGAATGGTTGACGTTCGGGTATATTTAGAAGCTTTGAAATTTACCTGGTTACGTAGACTTTTAAAAGCTCAGCCTTCAGGTTGGTCTACTTTGTGCAACTGTATTTTTGATATCTCCCGATTGTCCTTCTTGGCAGATGCATGGTTCAATTCAATCGATTGGTGCCTGGAGAGTTTGTAATGCCTTCTGGTTCGATTTGTTTACAGCATGGTCTAACTTTACTCAGGCCCATTTGCCTACAAAGAAACCGGAGGTATTGAGGAGTTCTCCTTGGTTCAGGGATAAAATTAAGATTAATGGCACATGTATTTTTTTTTATAAACATTGGTTGAGTAAAGGTGATTTAATAAATGGGAATTCCGCTTTTCTTTCTCTAGATGAGTTTAAGAATAGATTTGAACTCATCTTTTTGACGACAGTTTTAGGGTTTTTTCCTTCCACGACATTCCCTGTATGTTCTTTCGTAATTTGTTTAACATAAGAAGATGTAGAGTGAATGAATTAGTAGGAAAGTAAGCACTCCGGATGCTGTAAGTGAAATCATCAGACATCCTGGTCGATATTTATTAAGTTGTTCTAGCAACGCTTTGTTGTGGTTTGATTTTCAATGAAGTGAAGCTGAAAGAGCTGTGAACGCAACTGTTACTTATTCTCTGAAGACAGCTTGCCCGCAAAAGGCCTACGAAGGCCTTAGCTGCAGGGGCACGGAAGTGGGCAGGTCAAACGCCTTTTCCAGAAATTGGGAAATCAACTCACTGATCGCACAATTTTAAACTTTAGCACAAAGTTCACGTCTTGCCTTCCACTAGTAAGAAAAAAAGGCAAAGATCCAACTGCAGTGTACCCACGTTGTTCCGGCCTTTTATCCATTATCTTTAGTGAACAAAATTCAAATTCTAAACGCAGTTTAGCCGACTGGAATTGTGAGGCGACATCTGGGAGGAGAGCTTTGTCCCTTTCAGGCATCACATTTTATCACATTAAATCCTGTGATATTTTATACAACTAAGAAAATTGGCAGAAAAATGACTCCCTTTGTGGAGTTATAGCTCCCTATTCCACCTCAAGTAGCGGTAAAGACTCACATTCCACTGAGTTAATTGGATTTAACAGAAAGGGAGCAGAGTGCGAAACAGAAAACATTCAGCACAAGCGGATTCAAGTTTAAGAGAGAAACCGACTACCACATTTGAAAGCAGCATTATCCACTGAGGCATTTACCTGCCACCGAATGAAAATTATAGTTTCTAAGGTTGTATTTGAGATAAATTTCCCACCACGTAAAAGGAAAAGGCGTGTTCCGTGACCTGGGGTGCAACAATGCACACAACACGGCCGTCAAAATCGAGCACAGCACCGCCATGGCACAGGTCGCGGTCGATTGCCCTGGACAAGAGATAGATGTGCGCCCTAACGACAGTGTTAAAAAAGCTGCACAGGAAGGAATGACACGGTAGGGAATTTATAAAATTCAATCTCGACACAAGGCTAAGCTTCTTTGTTTCCTCGGAAATATACCTCTTTGCTTTTTTAACTTTAAAGAAATGTGAAGAACCAAAAGGAAGAAAAAATAAACCTTTTCAAAGAAGATGAACATATTTCATATACACGTGACATAAATTTAAGAGAAACAGTGTACCTACAACATGCAAAGACGTGTGTGTGACTTTTAAATAGAAGATTTCACAGAAAACCCCCTTTTGAGCATTTAAGAGATGATTCATCAATTCCAAATAATATTTAAAATGCCTCATGCACACTTGTTAAATAAAAACGTTTCGAAGATAATACTTAAAACATATGATTATAAAACCATTTGGGTGCTTATCACACGCTAAAATATGGTTGCAGTCCCAAACACTTTTCAAAGATTTCCTTATTTTACACGAGACGCAGTGCTTAATTAACCGTGAGACAGTTTATATATCCGCCCCTCCCCTGGCTGTGAGATGGCCCAAAATAAGCCGGCTCTTAATCTTTTAGGGTTAATACAAACTGCATGAAAGGAATGAAATGAAAAGATAATGCGCAAACCATTATTATTTTTAACATGTACATGTGTAATTGGGCTTAGAAAGATCGTATCTTTTGAAAATTTAATCTAAGCCACAAAAGAAGAGTGGGCAAAATTTGATGATCCTTGTTATGTGTCCAGCCCACTTTCAGCTTAGCATAGGTAGCCAGAGCTACATGTAGACAAGCCTCTCTGCCTTGGTGTTAACCTGGGAAAGATATGAGATGGTTTACTGAAAAACTGTGATCGGTTAACTCGGTGTTAATTGAACACCCTCGGTGTCTTATAACACCCATGCAAGGTATTAAATTAACACTTAATTCTTTTGCAAGCACTCCTGGATCAAATAGACTGTCAAAGTCCGCAGCCCGCCCTTGGATTTTCCCGCTCTGCTGCCCGCCGTTCCTGTAGCTGCGTTTGGTTTTGCGTCGACTCTCCTGCTTGTTCTCGGGTGAGGGACTTCAATATCATTAAGATCATTGCCATGGTTCCGGCGAAGCAGGTGAGTCCGACTCCCAGCACTATACCAATGATGGCCGCCAGGCTCAAATCTCCCGCCTTACTGGAAGGAGTGGTCTGTGGAACTTCGGAGAGGACAGCTACAAAACAATGGAAAGTGTTTCAGTATTACTGCAATGCAAAACAGCAAAACAAAACCGTACCAACAGTAAAGATAAATAAAAAAAATTGAACAAAACAATTAAAAATGAAACATGGCCTTTATTATATGCATGTAGTACATGTATATCACCCTCTTTAGTGTTCTTTGTTCACGGTTCTTGAGTGCTTCCACTGCACCACAGCAATTCTATAACAGTTCATTTGGTGGACCCATACTAGTAGACACAATGACCATCTTTTTATGCAGATAAGGCCAAATATAGATGCAGAAAACAATTTTCACAATTGAGAGGATGTTCGGTGTGGGTTTCAGGCGTAGATAGAGTGGCTTTCCCGCAGGTTAACAAAACGTAGGGCACTATTTTATAATCCAAAATTCTAAATGAAACACACATGGAAACACAATGGAAAAAAAAAGAAAATACGTTTTATATACCTGACAATATCTTTGCAAGCACAAAGATTAGAATCTCCAAAATCTTCATTTTGTCTAGCATATAATCCTATTCGGAAAACAGAAAGTCAACAACTTGTTTATAATGAAAAGAGTGTAATCATGAAACAATGAACCTTCCATGAGAAATAAGTTTGCGGGTACACCATGGAATCAATCTCTGTTTGGGTTTGGTGTGGTTTCTAAAAGAACCGGTGAGCGTTAATTCGACGTTTCGGCCAATGTGCTCTGGCCATCCTCAGAAGAGTGTGCTGGGAGTGCGGGATAGCTGGGTTATACTTGATGTGGTGGAGTTCTTGGCGTAGGTTGGCCCTCTAGATGAACGGCTACTGCAACCAGCGCATCAACCTTTCCAAGCCCTCTCCCAGGACGCTAGGGTCTCCTATACCCGAAACCCCCCTCCCCCACGGGATTAGGGTCACATATACCCAAAGCCCCAAACCCCCACCGCCACGGTATGTCTACTGTACCTGGGCCCCACTTCCTACCAACTCCGCAGCATCCTACAGTCAGCCAACATCAAAGTCTATCATTCAGCTTCCAACAAGCTGCAGGCTGCACTTCACACCCACAAGGACAAGCACCCACCTAGCAGTCGCCCCGATGTACATCGCATTCCATGTGAATGCGGCCAAGTATACATCGGGGAAACTGGCAGGAACCTTCCCAACAGACTCCAAGAACACCGCTCGCACGGCCGACGAGGAGAATATGACAAGTCGGCCATGATCATCGAACATGCACAATCCACGGACCATCGCATCAAATGGAACAAAGCAGAGCTCATCGCGCCCATCAAGAACTGGCTCCCTAGAAGAATTCGAGAAGCCATCAAGATTTTCCGGCACAACACTGTACCCCAAGACATCGGTTTCAAGCTCAGTGACATCTGGCGCCCTCTACTAGCACCCAAGCAAACCCCCCGGGCAGTAGGGTGCCCTATACCCGAAACCCATGCTATCCATTCCAGGCGTTAAGGTCTTCTCTACCCGAAGCCACTCCCTCCCCCTTGGCATAACCCAGGGTTTCCCACCAATGCCGAAAGCCCGCACAGCCACTGAATCCAACACCTTCATTCAATAGTGCACACACTCAAGTTACACAACCCGCGAATCCAGTTCCACACTCCACCGATTCCGGATTACTTTAACAATCCAGCTATCCCCTCCAGTCCGGCACAGTCTCCAGAGGACAGCCAGAGCACACTGGCCGAATCGTCGAGCTAACACTTACCGGTTCTTTTAAAGAACCACACCCCGCCCAAAAAAAGAGATTGATTCCATTATGTACCCGCAAACCGATTTCTCATGTCTCTTCCACCATGCAAAGCTTCAATTCTTACTTAATGAACCTTCCAGTTTACTTACATAGTATCACACGACTATAGTCAAGTCTCAAAAAGACATTTGCGAGACTGCAGGTTAAATTTGAATAAAATCTGGTACATAGAGTTATCTGATTGCAATTAACGTAATAATTTGAATCCCCCGGACTAAGTGTTGCTATGCTCGGTGATTCGGGCAAGCTTTGGCATGGCGACCACCATCCCCAGAATGGACTGCTTCCTTTGTACCCTTCTTATCCATTGAGAACAGTGTATTGTTGCAGGGCGTCTCTGCACTTACATATGAAGGGAACTGCGGGACAGAGAGAAACACCCGCCTTTGTGTTGGTCATTGTTATAATGGAATCACAGGAATTATTTTCAGATATCTTGGGGGATGCGTTAAGTGACAGTAGGCTGGAGTGTGTGTAGGGATTGGACTTGGGGGGTTACCTCTGTCCCATTTCGTGCCTGGTATGTCCAATTAATGCTTGCCCCGAATCACAAGGTATAGCAAGAGTGTTTTTAGTACGGAAAAGCCAAATTATAATGTTCACGTGAATTTAAAGAACCCAGTGTACCAAAATTTATTCAAATTTCACTCGCAAAAGGCTTATGATGTCTTGGCTCAGTCACAGAGTTATTTGCAATTCCAAGCACATGTACAGGGCGGGTTACATGTACTTTGTTAAATGGCTTTAGACGTGAGTTGATTCGTTAACATGATGAACTGGGGGACTTATGAGGAAAATTGAAGGAATCGACCATAGCCTTCCCTCTGTGCAACAGCAAAATGTACGAAAATATCCCTGGCCGCGCATAATTACACCCATATTTGCTGGTCTGTAGACGGTATAATGCATATATTTTATGTTAAAAAGCCACCAAATTCACAAAGAACATCCCTCACCCCTTCAAGACACACAAATAAACCAAAATCACAAAAACAAAATCAAACAACCAACCAAGCAAAACGAATCACTACAAAATACCCAAACCGTCCACCTCCACCAGTAGTAAACAGAATGACCCACATTTCTTGACATTTTCTGGCCCTGTTTTGCAGTTGACAGCAAAAGTAGATTCCAGCAGACTAGGCGGCGAATGAACTGTACTGAAAAAGGGATGTGGTAAATGTTGCGTGACGAAAACGTAAATTATTGCTTGATTACCGGTCCGGTTACTGGTCCATTATGCTAGTTGGTATCCACGACAACCCAACAAAAGATGCAAACAAATTGAAACTGCACGACAGCGTCTGTTTACGATTACAAGAAATGATCTACGGTCCGTTGGCATTAGTAGTGACAAAGACCGTAATCCACTGAAGCATCGGTATCATGAGCAGTCTGGTGCTGGTCCTAAACACAACATTTGTGGCGGTTGAGGATGTGATGCCTTCTCTTTTGAAATGACGACAATTGCTCACGGGCAAATGGAAGTAGGCTTCCCATTTAACACCTGGAGGTGGATCCAGAACCAAATTTTCAGCGGTCATTTTTTTGGGGGGGGAAGCAGTGTTGGAACTTTCCCCTTGTAACCTTTATCGTCTTTAGGAAGGGGGGGATACGACATTGTCCTAAGAAGTCTTTTGCCATAATTGTCCATTGTATGGGAGCGGGTAGCCCTAGTTGGCACCTGTATGCTCCAATGCTAAACCCTGCCATTTTTCATGCAGTTGCACACACGGAATCAATACCAGTGTGGCCTGCCTGAATTTAGAGGTCTCTGCAAAGAACGTAAAAGGCCTCCCCCTGTAATGCATGTATACCGAACCACGGTCCGTGATGGAACATAGTATGTGTGGATGTAGCATTGCACACGCGGAAGCTTGAACCACAAAAATAGTCTCGTTCTATGGCATTGACATGTATAGTTATTGACAAACCCCGAGATCATGGTAACGCTGTCAGAGATCTTTGTGATGCCTCTGCCAATGGTAGTAAATGTTGTGATAAGAACTGTACGTACGTAGCCAGTGCTTTCTGCCATGCATTAAACTTAAACGGGCGTGCGTAGGATTTGCAATTATCTCAAAAACGCGACTGTCGAATTATCTTGAAAATATCTTACTGTAAAGTAAGTACATAAATGTGTCAGACAATCTGTGAAATCTAACTGCCAGAAATGCTGCCATTTTGGAAAAACAGAAATTTTATATTTTTTTTTCAAAAGACCGTCCGTGTGTTTTCCAAAGATCGTCCGTCCGAACTTTGGAAAATACAATTCGTTCAAATTTCGCAACCGTTAATGGGCGCAGCGAAACCGTGTGTAAAGCATTGAGCTTTTGGAAGAGTCTATGCGAACAGGTAAGACATGTATATAAACAGTCAATACGCCTTCGGTAAGCCTAAACTCATTACTAATTAACTAAAGAAATAGATACATAACCATAACTAACACGCAAAAGGAGAATTTGGACTTGTTTTAAATAAAAGTTTCTTTATGAAACTATGGAAGTTTACCTCACGTAAATATATCATCTACCTATCACCCCTCAAGATAAATAATGAGGAGTCCAATGGTTGTTCCTTCGAAGCTCCGTACTGAAGCCGCGCGAAAAACAAAATCTCCAATTTCGAGACATATAGCTTTCTGTTTTTCCAATAACAGTAAACTTTCATGCCCAAAATGCAAGGATATTTTTTATTTATGAAGTGTTTATGATGGGCCGGGCACTGACGGTGTGTGGACGGTTTTATCGACGTCGACGTACGTACGTGTACAGAGCAAGCAATGGTTGTGTGGTTGATCATGTACATGTACTGTATGTGTGGTCGCGCAGTGACTGTTGAGTGCAGTCACTTCACGGTCCGATGAAACATTGGTCATAAATTCTCAGCGTTGCATTGTTGAAGAGGAAACACAAACATGAAGGTAAATTTGCCAACAACTAATACTACGCGAAGCCTTGGAAAATTGCATTTTTGAGGGCCATAATCGGTCTGCAGATCGACCTCGCTGTGCATTGTACAGGCACTCAGGAACGTCCTGTGACCCATGGATTTTTGCGAGGCCAGTTACACGAGCAGCGCTTTGAGAGATAAAAATAAACGGTGTTTTCCTCGATTTTTCTCCAAGCAGTGTTCTCCAAAAAGGGATCAAATTTGGGGAATGACAGACAAAGTAAACCACAAACCCCAAAATAGGCCAAATATGCCAAATTGCAGTAAATGCAAATCCTATACACTACCTTTAAAAGGAGGCCACTGGGAATACGCAGTGAACTGTTGCTGGATTGTTCGTAGGCCTACCCAACTAACAACACAGTCTCGCAACACCTAGTAGCAGCTTCAGAACAAAAGGCTTTGCTCTCAACTTACCCGGATTTATTCTTATAGCCGAGAATCCAAGCCCCCGTCCATTCCTCAGGACTTGCAGGGAGAGAGAGGCACAAGTACCAACAAATAGGATTGTAGCCGTCCCTTCTCACGGTGAAGTCCAACATGATAGCGGGTTCATGGCTACCGGTGACCTAGATTCTTATGGTTGCTATGGTAAACGTCGCATAAGAAATGAATATTTAGTTGAGATTCAAATGAACCCTATTATATACTGTGAACCCTGAAGGTCTCCATCAGAATACATCCGAGCGAGTCAGAGTTGTCTATATGTTTAAAAATATACTCTTTTGGATGCTGCATTAGCATTTTATCATTTGGTACTAAAAACGGTTCCACTGGTGAAAAAAAATCATTGTTCATGTAGGCCTATACGTAACGTAGGAATAGTTTAAACCTACGACCTTCCAGAGCTGTATATTTAAAAGTTATAATTTTACTGTAAAAAAGGCAGCAATGATTCCATCCGTCCCTTCATATTTCTTGAATCTTTGAAGCCTTTTCCAGTTTAGTCCGTCTTCCTTACTATTTACTTCTGGCCAACATTTTCTTCTCTGGGAGTTTCTTCCCAGACATCTGACAAAACCCTGGGCAAAAGCATGAGATATGGAGTATTACACACATGGAAAAAGTCCAACATTCATTGTCAAAAAGGCTTTAGGGTGACAAATACTTCATAAGTGATAAATGCAGAAGTGGCACAAGCTCGCAGGTGTACAGTTAATGCATGGCAGGTGAAACGAACAATGACTCCACCGGTGTGGCCTTTCACCATGTCTGATGGAAATGGCACTCGTTTGTCATTACACTGTACATTACAATGCGTGAGAATCAAATGGTGTGAAGTCATTATAATTTCAATTCCCTCATGCTCATTAATCTCTAAACATAACTGCCGCAGGCCTACAACTCATTCGCTGCTGCCATTATGGGTACTTCTCGTCAATTCATCAATTGATTGTTGGAGATCCAAGGAAATATGCCTCCAAAATGATAGCTGAAGTGGTTCGAAATAATCTCGCTATATTGTAAAGTGTGGGGTATTGGTATAACGACAAATGCATGAGGGATGAAAGTGCTTTAGCCCACTGACTGTGATTAAAAAATTATGTAGATTGTGAAGAAGTTTTCGGACTCTTCAACAACCCAAAATGTATTTAACCGCACTTAAAAAGGGAAAATAAAAGAAGCCTTAAATGTGCCGTTCTGATGTAAGATTCCGCTGGAATGTAGTACACATTACAAATGGATATCTACATCATGAACATCAACCCTATATAATGTCATTTGGGGTCACTATCCCCCATCTTTTCAAATTTCCATGGCTGGGCAAGTCCCCTCATCACACACGTGCACACAGAGTACCCCATCCCCTATTTCCAGCACAAATATTAAGCTTAGCCCCTGGCACACGTGCACAATTTAATCCAGTGAGTTTGTATGTGCATTAATTTTCTTCTCGGCAGTGTACATCTATATGCCGATGGAACATAAGCTGGACAAGGGCTGATCTTGTTAGTCTGGCCTTGGGGAGTCCGTTTGGTACTAAAGGGTGCAGACCACTAATTCAAGTGAGAATTTCTGACCAGCTCATTAGCATTAAAAGTGCCCCCACAGTATCTTTTGGAAAAGGAGATTGTTTGGCCCCCAAAATGGTGAGATTGTGTAGATCGTTGCCAGGATCAACTCCCTGGGTCTTTGAGCTTTCATATGAGGGCAGAAGGGCTG